AGTGGCTAAAAGCAATAAGAGAGAGAGAGAGAGATTTCACATAAAACTATATTAACTGTTTTTGTTTTCAATAATAATTATCAGGTATATATGTGGATAATATGGAGGTGGTTCAGTTCGGTGCAAATGGCAAGGACAAGATGAGCTCGACCATGAAGAGTGGAAGAGTAACCAAATGTAAGCTTGAAAAGTTCTTCTTGGAGGGAGGCAAACTTTATCGCTATAGATACGGTATGAAGAAGAGATATCTTGTTACCCAATGGTTTGGTACCTGCACTACGGCTAAGAGGGATCCGCCGGAAGTGGTGCTCCACCGAGCCAATTTCCTGTTGCAGCAGCACGATGGGTTTGGCGAATATCATCTGTTCCAAAGAAACTGCGAGGACTTCGCTCTCTACTGTAAGACGGGGAAGGTGGTGGACGGTGGCGCAAGCAGTCAGGTGATCCAAAGGGGTTTTGGCACCGTTTTAGGCGGTTTCTTCATGGATATTGGACTGAATGATAAGGCTCGCAGCGTCGCAGTGGAAGATTTGATGAGGGAGCGCCAACCAATCACTCAGACTGATCAGTTGATGATGAATGTTGCTTCTAATTAAGTAGCTCATGCAAGCAGTAATTTATGTCGGTGATTATGCATGGCACCTTCATGTTTTCTGGTTTTCAATTAGTGTATTACGTCTTAAATTGAGAGAATGAATGGAGATGAGATGCACTATTTCTCATTCATTACACTACCTGTATGACATATTTACAAACAGGTTTCTCAATAAATTAAAATGGGTTCTGCTAGACTTGGCCTGGGAATTTGATCTCTCTCTCCTGCATTTTCTCAGAGAAGAACTTGTTTTATTATTCTCTAATGAACACTTCAGTAATAATACACAAAGAACTTTCAATATTTTTCCTTGTACTTTTCTTAGAGAATACAGGAGTTGGGTCTCTAATCACTTCACTTGCATTCTACAATAATATTTGAGTTTGTGGTAGGATATCTTAGCTGTTAATTCATTTTGCAATATAATTTTCATAGCTTTCATGCCATTTGAAATCTTGAATGGCCTTGGAGAAGCACGTTTGCTTAGACTTTTAAGGCTATGTAGTTTGAAGTAAAAAAGTTACAAGATAGGATCGGGTCAAGTTGGGCTTATTGTTTAACCCGACCCATTGACATCCCTAGTCATGCCATGATTCTCTTGAAATCTAATGAGGTAAACACACACCATTAATCCCATTGGGGTCCATAACTTGAACGTAATGCGTAGGTGGGCCATAGAGAGTGTGATCCATGCATGAAAGTGGGGGTAGATAAGTGGATAGGTCACATACGTTTGTGTTTTGGTATAATGAATCTCATGGAAAAGAATGGTTGTCAAGCGACTCATTTTCCTCGCGTGTAATATCCTCTTGAGACTTGAGTAAATCACTTATCCATCCAGGCCAAATATTGTTAATGTGCCTTGGGACAATATTACTCCTTTAATAGTGTTATCATTTTGGATAAATCAGTTATTGCATAACTTTACCTAAGGAATAAAAGAACACTTTTCCGGATAAGTGTTTCCTAAGTGCATTTAGATAAGTAAATGAGTTATTGAAACACGAGTGAGGCCTTAGACGAGTCAAAACTTGTGGGGAGTCCCAGGATTTGCTTTAGGTTTTGACAACATTTGAGGCAGATTGCAGTGTTTTAATAGAGCTTATTAGTTTTGGCAAATTTTAACTTCAACAAGAGTCCATCTAAAATGAATTTGTTTTGGGAAGTTGCATAGAACCCAATATAGGATTTCAAATCTAAGTTTAATTTCTAGATCAACAAACATGCACAAATTAATCAATCTGGATACAAATTTGGTGATGATCCAATCTTTATCTCTCTAGAACGTACTTTCAATATGGCTAGTTATATAAAGGTTGAGTAAAAGCCATTGTATCTATGGATCTCATCAGAAACACTAAAATTTTAAATTATCCCATTACATGGAGAAAGATTTGCTAATTTGTTAGTAATTTTTAATCAAAGCCAAGGACTGGTCTGATTCCACACGTTGAGAAAAGGAAGATCAAAATTCCTTAAGAAATTTCCCTCAACTTTGTGTCTCTCTTATTTTCTTTTAAACCAAACACAGCCTTAAGGATTCTATATTCCATCCCATGGTCTTGGAGTGGAGATACTCACATCTTTTAAATAAATCTAAATGTCCTAAAAGACCAAAAAGGGGCTTCACCATGTGCGGTGTAGAATGGGACTTATAATTTCTCGTCTTCATTCATCCAACTAATATTCTAATTCCCCACCTATGGAAGGCTTCCAACCTTATCTTAACTTGCTATCTTTTTGTTGTTTATGCAAGTATATGGAGAATTTAACTTGTTTGATGTGGGAAGGGTCTTGCCTTTTTAAGACTAGGATAGTGCACTTTGATCTCCTGTGATCATGGAAATTACATCAGTCCAAATGTGCTGTGAACATATCCTTGTTTCCCCCCAAAACCAAAGACAATTAATCGTCTTGGCTCCATATGAGTTGCCAACATGTGGGATCTATTTATATATAGATAACCTAAAAGTAAAATCTGTACCAACCGATTGTTGTGCATTTGCCAATGGAATCAATGAAATCTTATAATGTTTTTCTTTTCTTGCTTTTAACCATTATCATTACAAATTTAATTAATTATAATGATGCAATTGAATAAAAAAAAAACAATCATAACTTGTCCTTGCCTATTTTCCTCTTTCGTATTTGATATAAATATGTAATTATTTATAATGATGCCATTGCTAACTATTTACAATGATACCATTAAACTCCTACCTTTTTTATATTTATTAAAAATTGTCTTTATCTCTCATTTTATTTATAATCAGGTAGTGTTGGGATTGGTTTCCTAATATATCATGAATTAGAGTCGTGATTGATTTTGGCTCTAATTACTTGAGATAGTGCAGGGAAAGAGTGCCATGCTGAATTGGCAACTTGTGAGACTAAGAAAGGGGATAAGGGAGACACTTTAGAATTGTAGGGTTGGGGCAAGGAAAAAAAGGAAAGGCCATCTGATATGGTTATCTTTGTTTTAATATATACTAATATATATGTTAATTTATACTTAAAAATTATATTGTATTTATTGATAAAGTCGATTTGAATGTTATGTTTCTAATACCATAAGTTCAACTTTCACAAAAATAAATTTCAATTAATTTTGTTCATAAATACAATATCTATGTCATTTGTAGTTCATTTTATTAATGCAATATAATACTTTTATCACTTTTACTTCAATTAATTTATCTTATTCAATATTTAGGGGTGCAAGTCAGGTCAACTTAAAATAGATTGAGATCAACCCTAACACAAGTTGAGATATTGAACCACCAACCCTAACCCATAAACTTCAGACTGGATTAGGATCGTGCTGGGTTCAACTTGGGCTTAGGTTGGATTTGGGTTGGGCCCAATTTCTCTACTTCCACCGTCAAAATTAGGGCTATCAATGGTTTGGGCCTACTTGATAGACTTGAACCAACCAAACCCATAATAATAGTTCTAGTTCCATGATTTTGCCTCAATTAATAATTTCATTGGTTCTTGTTCTTGCCTATCCCAAACTAATTTAGACTCTAACTAATTATTTTATTAAATATATAATATTTTTTTAATTTTCTTATAATTATTATCAAATTTTTTATATTTGAAATGATAAATTTGATAGATAATAACTAAGATAATATTAGTTAAAATGTTTAATTTATATAACATATAAATAATTTAGGATTTTCATATCATTTTTAATAAGGTTATATTATAAAAATTTAAATTTTAGTTATTACTTAAATAAACAAATATAATTTTCAGTATAATCAGGATGCTTTTGGGTTTGTGATTTTGTCCTGATTAAATAATTGGTTTGGGATTGATTCTACCTAGACCTGACCTAGACCCGACTCATTGATGACAACCCTAGTCAAAATGTAAAATGTTATTTTTTCTATAATGAAGGGTTGAGGCCAATTTAATAATAAGATTAGTAGAAGGGTTAAGGTCAAATGGCATACTTATAAATTAACAAATAAATAAATATAGATAGATACATACAAACATTTTTAAACAAATAAATAAAAATATACATATATATACTTACATCATGCATTGTTGCATATTTACATACAAGCAAACATGCATACATAACTACATGATTATATAGTAATTATACATATAATTAGAGGCGGAGCCAAGGTGGTAGAGGAGTAGACGTAGCAATTGGGTTGGGTAGGTTGCGTTCAAGTTGGGTTAAGACACTTCAAAGTTGGGTTCAAATTTTTGAGCTGGGCCAGAAAAATGTTAAACCCTAACCCTAAAAATTCGAGTTAGGGTTAACCCATGGGACAATTTGAGTCAACCCTACAAATAATTAGAACTTCAAAAAGTAAAGAAACATACATAAAGCAATGCCAAAATCAAGGAAATTAACCATAAAATTCCAAATATGAAATAAAAAACTTGAAAAAAATAAAAGAATTCAAAGAATAAACAATAGAGATTAAAGACTAAAATAGTAAAGATTAAAGAATGAAAACTCTTGATAGTACTTAAGTAGTCCTAATTAGACTTGATAATCAAGTTAGAAGGTTGACCCAATGACCCAACCTTTTTTTTCTATGTCGAGTTAGGTTGGGTTTGTGAGTTGGATCAACTTTTTACCAAGTCTAGGAGCCATGACCCCCTATTAGTGGTGCTCACGGTTCAGTTAACCAAACCGTGGGCCTATTCTTGAAACCGAACTGACATCCGGGTTGTCTTTCTCTGTAGCTCCCTTGTTGAGGTTGTCATCCTCCTCCTCCTCGAAGTCTAGGTCTTCTTCGGCCTTATCCGATATTGCCGAGGTGATGACCGAGGTGGTGATAGATCCAAGGTCGAGCTCGGGAAACGTCTCCCTTATCATCCAGTGGCAGAGCTTGAAGCCCTTACAGAAGGATGTGGTACCGAGGTTCTCTCTATCCTTGTGAAACTCTGTTGAAGCCTTATATTTCTTGATGGTGAGAGCATCAATGTCCTCGATCCCCTTAGAAAGAATAGCCTCACGCTCAACAGAAGCAATCTTCTACTCGGCTTACTTCTTCAACCTTTCAACCTCCTTCTACAGTTGCTCAATCTCAAGCACCTACCTTTCAGAGTGTTCATGTTTCGCCTCCACCTTGCCCTCTAACCTGCTGATGACACCGACGACCTTCTCCACTCTACTCTAGTATTCTGAAGCCACCACCTCAGCATTCTTCGTCCTTGCACGATGCTGTTCGGACTACTTCGGGAGACCGTGAACTACAGAGTTGGTCTGCAAAAGGAAGAAATTTCACTAAGTACCAGAGATGACATTCTAGCGACAACACAATAATGAGATCAGGACATACCACCATAAGATAGCACAGTGCCTTCGCGCCCAATTCAGGAGTTCGCTGCTCTGCAAGCTAGGAGACCTCATCGGGAAAAATGGCCTCCTTTCTCTTAATGAGGCTGGTCCGGAAGTCCATGATGCTTTGGCTCTCCCCAAGGCCCTCACCTGAAGAGACGGCCCCGGGATGACTGGACAACGGCTCA